GTATGTGTGTGTGTGTAAAATAGTTTCAACATTTTTGTATTAGAATATTTTAAAGAATTTGTTTTCAAAAGCAAATGTGATAATTTTGAGATATCCTATATACAGGCAAATATGTATATAATTCGAGCATTTCCAAAAGCAGACATTTTGGAATATTCTAATACGAGAATGTTGAAGCTATAAGAGTTTTTAAATTATTGGCTATTATACAGTTCACGAATGACAGCTGACATTTCGCATGCTCAGACATGATGATATGATATAAAGTGATAAAGATATTATCATGTTTTCTTAACAATGAGATTAGCATAGAAATACATAATGATATTTTTTATTAAAAAATTGTTTTTACTTCGAATCCTACTTGTATATCACATGATTAATATCGTAACATAATATCACAAAATATCAGTTTATGTAATAACATGATATTATGACATACGTCAAAATAAATTCATTACTACTCATTTGCCATATGATAAATATTTTTGTGGTAATATTAATCAGATAAGCTAAATATATTCATCTTCCTAGCTTATATAGAATTACAAAACTATTAAAAATGAAGCTGGTACTTCCTCAATACTCTCGTTATAATTGACGAATTTCCTTGAAGTACGACAGCTTCAGACTGACATGAATTTAATTCGTATTTTTTTTTTAGAATTTAATTTCGGAATTCGATTCTCAAAGATCTATACTATATAGATTTAATCATCTTTATCTTTCACAAGATTAAGTGTAAATTCCATACAGCTGACCGACACTGAGTCACCGTGAGCGTCGCGTAAAAGAGACGTAATAATCTACGGTGCTCCAAAAAGGCCGAACAAACGAGAGGAAAGAATGCGAACGAATGGCCGCGGATGCCGAGGTGCCGAGTCACATGCACGCACGTAAAACCGACACGTGCACCCTCCCGTATCCACCGGACGTTCCACGCTCCGGTGATCTTGACACGCGGGTATGTCGCAACCTCTCGTCGTTCTTTGTGGAACCACGATTCAATCGTAGATACGGGCGAACGATTCAAGTCAAAGAAAGTTCAAGTCGGAGAGTCAAAGAAAGAATTTGGAAAAAAAGGACGTCCTCTCAATTTCTACGATGCGATGATGTTATTTAAAAAATTTCTAATAAGATAAATTATTATTAAAGCCATCTTGGTGCTTTTCCATTGAAAATTAATTCTCTTGTAAATCTTGTAAAATTAATCGCGACAAGAAATAAAGTTTTAGGAAAATTATCGCTCAAGATTTTAAGAAGTGTGTTGCGTATATACATTATCGAAAGTATATATACAAAGAATATTCTCTTTACGAAGAATATTTTTATAAAATTAACGTTATTAATTAATTAATGATTTATAGTACATACAAATTTGTAAATTCCATTTATAATTTATATATGATACTTGTAATATGTAATTTTGGCTCGTTTGCTGAAGCGGGAAAATTGTGATTCGTAATTTACGTGGAGCACCTTCACCCTAGGAAAAGTTCCTACGGATGTGTAAACAATAATGATTTACATGCCAATGATGATCTAGAGCGATGAGTGGTATTTCTGCGCATCGTTATTTTACAACCGGTAATTCATTCCGACCTGATGCACCGTGTGATGCACGGCTCTGATTGGATACACGGTGCAATCAGTCACGTATCGTTGGCGGCGTCTAAGAACGAACGATCGTGTGATTCTGTCACACTTGGGCCGCCATAAATATCGATTTTATCCGATAAGCACCGTCAACGGAAGATACTTTCCGCTCATATTGCGCCATCATTGCCATCAGCATGTATGTATGACAAAATGTGGAGAGCGTTGCAATCAATTGGATATGCGCGACAGTTTTTAGAAAACTTCTAGAAAATTACTGAAAATGATGAATTTATTGTGTGTAACATGTCTACGCAAATTGATGACGAAATAATCGCTTGATTAATTTTATTAGATTTTAAGATGTTAATATGGTTAAACATATAGTAATAATTTATTACTTCAATTTCATCAACCAAGAAGAGCTTGGTTTACAAATCTTTCCTTGAACACACTCAATTATCTATAACCTATATATATTAACTTTATAATAATATACCTATTCTTATATTCATACACTTATTTTAATTATGTTATACAATACACTTTTTATATATCTATATATTTATCTTATTATCATAAATCTGTAATCTATAATTTATATATTATATATAACATATAATCTACATTCTTCCATTTCTATATCATACCTATTATTATATATCCTTTTCGTTATCTATCCTTTTCTTTTTTCTATCTAATTATACTTAATCTCTTTTCTCTTTCCCTCCAACTCCCTCAAAACGTTACCTTTTACCTCATCTAATACATCATTCCATATCCTTTTCCATTATTCCTCACTGCCATTTCCTATAAACCATTCTTTAATAATTTGACATGATTCCATATTATGTTTTAATTTGTCCTGTATCATAAAATACACAAATAATCTATTCTCTTCGTCTATCCAATATTTAATCATCTCTTCCATGTTTCCGCACCTTAATTTAATTAACACCTTCCATCGTCAATCTATCCAAATTTTTCTTAAATAATTTGAATTATCCTCTGCCTTTGAATTATCCTTAATTATATAAAAACCTAGTTATAATGCTGAGCTGAAGATTAAAAATGATCAACTTATGATCTATATTTCGCTTATCGTTTAGTTTTCTAAAAATACGACTAGCTTATGACTTTTATCTTGTATACATAGAAAAATACATACTGTATTTAGTAAGTAAATATTATTTGTTTCAAGCATTTCAAAGTTCATATATCTATCAAATCTATCATAAGTTCATCATAAACGTCAAATTTACTCAAAATATTTTCTGAATCCTAACAAGTGTAATACTTAAATAAAGAAACTAAAGTAAACTATTAAATTAAACTAAAAAATCGATTTGCTTATTATCAAATATTTAAATTAATCAAATTCTTTAATAAAATTTTTATAATATTCTTTATAAAAAAATAAATTCTTTTTTTAACTATATGATAATGAATTTTTCTACAATTCGTAATAAATATATTTTAAAACTATTATCAAGAAAATATTCTTCTTTGTTAAAGATAACCGTTACTTAAAAAAAGATAAGTAAGATAAATAATAAGTTTTTCTTAGTAGTAGAATATTTTTCTTTGTATAATAATATGATATTGCCATGTCATTTTTTGTGACATTTTCGTGAAGAAAAATTTCAAAGCTAAAGCATTTTGACTTCAAAGCGCATTCTGTCTTCTTTCCTTCTGGTCTTCACATTCTTTATCTGGTCAGTATAACGGAGTACTGAATCGTTAAGAGTCTCTCGGATGTGAACGAATCAAATTTTTTCAACGAGACAACGGTTTATCTTCGCAAAAGCTAGCTTTGAGAAAAATGAAGTTCATTTTAACATCGCCAGCATTTTAGATAACTTGTCTAGAGATAGGATCCAGTTTCTGGATCTTATCTCCTTATCGCGCATCTGGTGAAATGTTAACGTCTAACGTTAACACTGGGCTCCATGAGAACACACAATTCATAAAACACGCATATAAGAAGACCGTTGGACACCTAAACGCAAAAATAAATTCCACGTTGTACGTCCCTCGTTTAATCGCCGTTATTTATTTCAAGCTTGTCAGAATAAACTCGCTCTCCGTGGCGAAATAAAAGACAGCAAGCCAAGAATTTCTGAAACGGTGCACGCAACGTAAAATAAATTATGCAACTCCTTTTGTTAAGATTTCGCTAAATACGAAGAGCAAGATGGGTGGAGGTGTTAATGCGAGGAACGGTAAAGTCCAAACGAGACTCGTTTGCGGACGACTAATTACTGCAGAGGTATGCTCTTCAACTATTAACAGGTGCAGTTGCCGCAAGCACGTGCAGAGCTGTTCGATATATCTGCAATCTAAGCCTTATCATGGATTTTAAACTCTGCACGCATCCAAGCAATGCTGCAATGCAGACTAACGTTTTACGATCGATGAATAACAAAGCCTTCTCTACGATACAACTTGTTTGTAACAATAAGATTTAATTATCGTAAGAATTAAATTTGCAATAACAACTAATAATTTTAGTATAAATAAATTAAATTATTCACTTAATATATCATTATCGTATATAATAATAATGTTATAAAAATTACGATATTTCGAAAATTAAAGTCTTTTTTTAAAGAGTGGGTAAGTAGCGAGTTTCAAAATAATTAATTAATTGCGTTTTACGTTCACTTTCGTATATTCGTTTGTTTTAATACACCTGGAAAACTGGACATTAACTTGTACGATGTAATCGATTCAGATTCTTTTAAGTGAACGAAAAGTAGTGTTACTTAACGCTTTAAAACTCGCTCGTTCTAGATTTCTAGATTCTGCCTTGAGCCAACATAGAAAGTTCGAGCATCGTCGAGGATGCAAATCACAGGCTAATTAGGAGTAGACTTTCGTGGA